TTAACTCTTTAGAGGAGACAAGGAGTACTTGATTCACTTTATATGGACGCGTTTGTAATAGCAATGTTTTGATAACCTAATGGTTATATTTTGCTTTCGAAACTTTCTGTGTTGCAAATTTGGATTGGTGGATTTGGGGAATTTTTAAGTTAGAGGTTTGTGAAGTGTGGATGTTGTACTTAAGAATTTGAGGGAAAAGCGTATTTTAAAATTCGCAAATGTAGGATCTTGAGAATATTTTAATTTGTGGACAAAATTTTCAAATGCGCAAATAAACAACTTTCCAAATTCTCAAATCCAAAATTTTCAAATCTGTAAATACTCAATTTCCTAACATCTACCCACTGTATCAGAAGAATCAAATTTTCTCTCCATACACTACACTTTCTACATAAATCCACAAAACCAAAATTGCAAAAAATCATCCCAGAATTCCCTCGTTACTCAATCATCGAGCGATGCGCCCCGAAACGTGTCATTAACAGCGATCATCGGCAGGCGTAACACCACCTATATCACCGTGGGAGGCAATCGAGAGCCGGCCATCGGCAGAGAGTCCCGTTGATCAATCGAGAGGCACCGCGAGTTTCGCCAGGGTTCAGCTCGAATCTTCCGACGGCCATTACGGGTTTTCAGGATACGAAAATTGATTCGAGCCCGGTTACTGCATGCTTCAAGTTCGAACTTTTGCCGCCGCCGCCGTATATTTGGCCGGTATCGATTTGGCCCAGTTTCTCTCCCGTTTCCTCGCCATATTTTAGGAATTCAAGCAACGCCGGCTCTCGCGAATGCCACTGTCAAAAATAAATCAACGACTGCCGATAATCTCGCGATCTGGAGCATCTGTAGCCTATCCTCCGCCCTTTTAATATCAAACTTGCGAGACAAACACGTTATGGGATCACTTTGCCTATCGACTCATTAATCTGCGCCGGGTCCATTATTGTGGACGACAAATTTTATGAGTTTAGCTGACGAAATGAAACGCAGTGTCGTGTTTTTCAACTTGTTTTTTACTGAATAAATTGTATGGCAGATTTCATGTAATGTTTGGGTGAAATCGGTTGGTAGGTTAATTAGGGTTGATAGGTTAGTTGACTGTATGAGTTATGATTTATTTTATTCGGTGTGGAAATTGAAAATTGCAAAATTGTTAAAATTGAAGGATTTAATATTTTTTACACTTGAGAGTTTGAGAATTTGCGCAATTGAAAAATTTAAAATTTGAGCAATTGGAACATTCATTATTTGAATATTTGTTCGGCTGAAATTGGTTGTTAAGTTAATTAGTTAGGGTTGACAGGTTGGTCAACTATATGAGTTATGATCTACTTCATTCGACATCCACTTGTATTTGGTTTTATTGTGGACAACCCTGTTTCTGGCACATAGAAGGCTGACCTAAGTTTAAGGGTCACTGTCTACCTTGAGCAGACCCAATGTGACGTTCTGACGTTCTGACCACTTGAAACGCTTGTCGACTTACATTTTGGATCAGTTGTTTGACATCACCACTTGAGACAATATTTCCTAAAATATATTCGAATGTAGGTGTTCATTTTTCTATTTTGACTAGTTAGAGCTGTAGTCCTTCCATGGTCTTATATCTTCAAATTTTTGTGTCTAACTCTTCACATTTACAAATTTCTAAATTTCCACATAGCAAGGTTCTCAAAATTCTTATATTTCAATATCTATAGAGATATTGGTGATACTCCAAATTACCGAATTCTCAAATTCTTAAGTTGGCAAATCTCTACATTCCCAAATTTCTACATGCGACGATCTCCACATCCCCAAATCACTAAATTCCCAGGTTCCCAAATTATCACATCCCCAAATCTCCAGACACCAAAATCGCTAAATTTCCAAATTCCTATATTCCCACATCTCTACATCCCCAAATCCCTACATCTCCAAATTGCTAAATTTTCAAATTCCAGGGTTCCCAAATTGTCACATCCCCAAACCTCTAAACACCGAAGTCGCTAAATTTCCAAATTCCTATATCCCCACATCTCTACATCCCGTAATCCCTACATCTCCAAATTGCTAAATTCTCAAATTCCAGGGTTCCTAAATTGTCACATCCCCAAATCTCTAAACACCGAAGTCGCTAAATTTCCAAATTCCTATATCCCCACATCTCTACATCCCGTAATCCCTACATCTCCAAATTGCTAAATTCTCAAATTCCAGGGTTCCTAAATTGTCACATCCCCAAATCTCTAAACACCGAAGTTGCTAAATTTCAAAATTCCTATATCCCCACATCTCTACATCCCCTAATCCCTACATCTCCAAATTGCTAAATTTCCTAATTCCCAAATCACTATTTCTGAAACCCTCAAATCATCTAATTAACCTAACCTAATCACTACACCCCCAATTCGCTGAATTTTCAAATTCCTAAATCCCCAAATCCTATTATATCCACACTCCCAACTATTAAATTTTGAAAAATCCCTAAAAGAAAACAGTTGCCTCCTTTCTCACCTTCTTTTTCCATACGATACATTTGAACCTTATACCCTAAACAATCACCACACTAGCAAAAGTGTTCTCAAAACAAATTTATGTCTTATACCTTCACACTCTTCTACTTTCTAAGTAGACAAACTAAAGAAATCTAGTAGTTTCATTCAGTGAAATCCACACCACCAAACTGTTTATCTCACACTCAAGAGACAATGAGATTGAAAGAACAAAGTAGATGTAATTTCTTTCTAAATTTGCTAAAAGTGATTTTTAGATCACTTTTCTAAAGAAAGTGATTGTTCGATCGACACAACTTTTTCTGTTTAAAGAACGCGTAAATCTTGCCGCGTTCAAGCTCCTGCAACCCGGATTGTTCGGAACATCGCTCCTTTCCTTTGTTTTTTTCTCTGTTACGATTTATACGATCATTCTTTAAGATCCTTTCGAGACCCATTAGGTTCGACTATAATTCTAGCCGCGAACGTTTCCCCGGCAGATGTCTTATGGATGATAGCACTGGGCACATCGACCCACATCCTTCGGATTCTAATCAATCCTCATTCCGCGAGAGTAGTTCGAAAGCTTTCTAGCGACAGAAGATATCGATTTCAATTTGAAAATGATCTCGATGAGGGACTGATGTTCTAAGCTTACCTTTGATCTTTCGAAAGTTGTCTTTAATCTTGTGCTGGAAAATTATGTGATCGCTCGGAGATCGAGGTGTGGCAAATACGATAAATTTAATTGATATAAAACATTTTTGATTAGGTTAATTTCGAGTGGAGTAGAATTGAGGTGCATTTGGTTGGAATTAAAGACTTCATCAGAAATTAAAATTAGATTTGAAGTTAGAAATGGATATAGTTGAAATTAAATTCAATTTAATTGGAATTAAAATTAATTAAAGTTACTGTTAATTTCTGCTTTTGTATTACTTATTTATGATGTATATGTATGATGTTATTATATAATGATATATGCATATGTTATTATATGTTGTATGTGATACTCATATCACACATATGATGTTATTATGTTATGATATATGTGTACGTTATTATATATTGTATGTGATACTCATATGACACATATGATGTTATTATGTTATGATATATGTATACGTTATTATATATTGTATGTGATACTCATATGACACATATGATGTTATTATATTATGATATATGTATACGTTATTATATATTGTATGTGATACTCATATGACACGTATGATGTTATTATATTATGATATGTTGTATATGTCGTGACACACATATGATATGTTTTATGATATACATAATCTTTCTTTTATTCCAATATCCCTTATTTTCCACACAAATCAATCACCCATTTCCCAATCCCCAATTAATCCAATAATATTCAAATAAACCTATTAAACCAATACAACAATACCAAGTTAACATACAATAATTATACCAATAAAATTCGAATTAAAAAGTTCGCAAGTGTATTACCGTTTCAGAGAACAATGAGCGTAACGATTCTCGATACTTGTAACATTACGAGATCCAACATGAAAAAAAAGGAGAACAGCGATGGTGAAAGAGTCGCAAGAGATCGATAATGTTTCTCTGAAGTGTTTCATTGTCGGTCGGTGTTGAAGCGGAGGACGGTCATCGAACCGATTTCCCTTTTTCTTCGTCGTTGTCTCTTCGGCTGGTATTCTTAAAAGCTACTTGCGAGAGAGGAAACGAGGGAGGTACTTTCATTTCGCGAAATGACAAATCGATGTGTCATTGTGTGCTCGATGCTTTGCAGGGAAACGAACACGCGAAATGGAAAATTCAACCCCGGCTGAATTTATGTGACTGTACAGTTTTATTGATTTATAATTTTTCAAGTTTCTAATTATTCGATAATTCGTCTGCCGATTTTTCAATTTTCCGTATATGGATTTTTAATTCGAGGTTCAACTTTTTGAGGTTACAATTCAATTTTTCAATTGTTCAATTTTTCAATTTCTCCATTTTTCAATTCTTCGATTCATTAATTTTCAAATTTTTTAATTCGTGAGTGTTTCAATTTCTCTGCCTTTCAATTTTTAGATTTTTCAATGTTTCAGATCTCAAATCTTAAATATTTCAATTTTCCAATTATTCGATGATTCATCTGTCGATTCATCAATTTTTCAATTTCTGAAGGTTTCGAATCGTCAATTTTTCAGTTTCCTAAATTCTAAATTGAACTTTTCGAGTTTCAGATACTTGCAAGATTCAGTTTCTCAATTTTTAGTTTTTCGGATTTTCAATTTTTCAAAGGTTCAATTATTCCATTATTCAATTATTTAGCTCTGCAATTATTGAACCTTTCAATTATTCAATTATTCAATTGTTCAATTTTGCAACTTCTTCTTCACAAACCACCAAGTTCTAACCATTAACTTCCAATTGGCCAAATTACCAACCTCCATCCAATACACTCAAAATATCTAAATGACAAAATACGAAATTAACTCTCTCATTCCACATATTGACCTCTCATATGAACTCTTATATCTGTTACAGGATGTGCCCCCGAGCTTTCATCGGCCACAGTCAAGACTGGGATACGAGGAGCGTCCCCAATCTCGTGTGGGATACACCTCGGATTCCAGGTGTGCCAGTGGACTCGGTTACGACGACACGGGAGGTGGCTACCTGGATCAGAGTGATCCCAGGATGTATTGCACCAGTGGTTACTGTATGGGGGACACCATGATGGCCACCAGCCGAGGAGTATGCGGCGAAGAGGTCGAACTAGACATGCGGAGGCACATCCAGGCATGTGCCTGCACCTGCAACCACATGGGCTACGGGAATTACATGGACTATCAGGTAAATTGCTTCTTCTAATCCCTGTTTTTCTTCTATTCCGCGTTAAACGACAACTATCGATTTTCTTCTACTTGTAATTGCTGGAACGGTTCACTTCCGTGTGATGTTCGTTCCGCCGTTAAAGTGGAGGTCATAATTGTGTTTGAAGAATTGGATAAATTTGAAGAATATATTTATTAAGTAAATTTAGAAGATGAACTCAATAAATTTTCGGTAGTATGTTTATAAAAAGAATTTATTACATAAACTTATGAAATAAATTTATTGAATAAGTTTGTAAAAGAAATTTACTAAATAAGTTTGCAGGATAGATTTATTAAGTGAATATATAGAATAAAATTCTAGTCAGCGTATCAAATTTAATTAAATTTATAGAATTTAACAAATCTATATTTAATAATAAAATACATTTGTCTTAGTATTTTGTAAAAATTTTGAAACTCATTGAACTAATCTATGTATTAAAAATAATTCACATATATATACCTAATAACAATTATCATATATGCACATGAAGATCACACATACAGGGTGTTACCTGTAACGCTATTCACCATTTTGTTCCACATGCAGCCACCTTACGAAAAAAAGTTTAGAACAACATTTACAGGGTTCTCCTGACAAAGTCAAGGTCACTTTGATCTTTTTAAATAGGAACATACATTTATTTATTCATAGCTTTAGAGGACATCGAGACGAATTCAAAACACGTATTACATGATATTTTTATTAACATACTACTCGGTTTACAGAAGTGGAAATGTGCATATACGTTAATTTTACCTAACTTCTACGTACAAAGGTTAATCTGAACTAACGTTTATATACACAGGTCAATCTAACCTAATCTCCACTTACAAAGGTCAATCTAACCTAACTTTTAAACACAAAGGTTAGTCTAACCTGACCTTCACGTACAGAGGTTAGTCAAACCTAACCCTCATTTATGAAGGTTAGACTAACATAACCTTTATTCATAAAGGTTAGACTAACCCAACCTTTATTTATGAAGGTTAGACTAACCTAACCTTTATAGACAAAGGTTAGTCTAATCTAACCTTCACGCCCAAAGGTTAGTCAAGCCTAACCTTTATTTCTGAAGGTTAGTCAAACCTAAGCTTTATTTATAAAGGTTAGTCCAATGTAACCTTCACGTCCAAAGGTTAGTCAAACCTAACCTTTATTTATGAGGGTTAGTCTAATCTAACCTCCATGTCCAAAGGTTAGTCACGCCTAACCTTTATTTATAAAGGTTAGTCCAATGTAACCTTCACGTCCAAAGGTTAGTCAAACCTAACCTTTATTTATGAAGGTTAGTCTAATCTAACCTCCACGTCCAAAGGTTAGTCACGCCTAACCTTTATTTATGAAGGTTAGACTAACATAACCTTCACGTCCTAAGGTTAGTCAAACCTAACCTTTATTTATGAAGGTTAGACGAGGAAGTAAAGTCTTGAGTAGCGTTACAGGTAACACCCAGTATTTGAAGTCATACATGATCATGTGTGATTGCAATTAAACTCCAATAGAAAATTAATAATCACCGATTAATATCAATCACAACTTTTAATAATCAATTCTCCATTAACCCTACAAATTAATAAATCGATTAAAAGTCTAAATCAGCTACTTATCAAATTCCTTTTAAGATTCACCTGAAAATCGTGATAAATGCAATCAGTATACTTTGTTATTAAAATATAAATTTCGTGCGACACGACGCAGGGATCAGTTGAGGAAGGAAGTTTATTCTGTTTATGAACCAGGAACAGGTAGACTTTTTGATTGCTTTTGAAACTGTCGAAAGTAAACGTTTCGACGTTAATGGCCCCGGCCGATCCCTGGTTCTTGCATGAGAAAAGCTAGTTCGACAAACGACGTTTAAGTGTCGAACTTTCAACGTGTCCGAACTTCATCGAACGACGGCTTTTAAGTCCTTGACTCTGAAACCGGATCCTGAAGAAACTCGCCGAGCACTTTGAAGCGAGCGAACCCGAAGATCCGCGACGCCTCGCGTTTTGCTGAACGTGCATCTTGTCGGCGAGCACATTTTTATGGAAGGAATAGAGGAATTTTGGAGATTTGGGGATTTTGGTGTTTGAGAAATTGTGGAATTTTGAAATTTGGAGACTTTGGAGATTTTTGGGATTTGGAGTCTGATGATTTGAAGATTTGGGATTTAGAAATTTGAGAATTTAAAGTTTTATTATATAATTAAAAATCTGCACAATCGTGAAGTCGAAAACTCGAGTAATTGGAAAACTGGAAAATTTGAAAATGCAAGTAAAGAACAGCCTATTCACATAAACATTGAAGCTAGAAAACACAATAATAAAAAGAACTATTAAATCAAGTAAATCATCCACATCCACTTAAATACACTAAGTCTAACAAAAGAATAAAACCATGAAATAATGATGTCAAAATGATGTACCCAAATTTTATGCCCTATTAACACTAAAGAGCAGACAGTGTAGCCATTTCGTTTCGAAAATTGAATCATAATTGTGGAGTGCATATGGAGGCTCTCGAACAAACGCATCGATAGATTTTACTCTAATTGGTCTGAAGCCTTGGTACAAAGTGTTCTCGAACAACGCCCTCAACTATGAAATTGTTTCAACAAGTTTGTCAAGTGTTATAGCTAATCAATCGTCGATCGTTTGAGCGATTAAATCTACATATGTAGAGAAAACCGCCATTGTTATTACACGATTGAATGTAAACGTTCAATATGACAACATCAGCATCGCGTGTGTATATATGTATGCGGTTTTAAATAGAGCTGGCTGCTGTTACCCACTATTTGTTCGCTAAATTATTACTGTCTTACTGAAGTCTGTTCTATACTGAATTTCACGCATAATAAACTCAATATAGTAGAATTTATTATGTAGAATTCACTGTTTTAATAAATAAATTCACATACTTTTATTTGGAATTCAAGTTTGACTTAATTTAATTTAATTTGACAGATAACTTATTTTTATTTCAATTTTAAATTTAACTCTAATTGTTTTAACTTTAAATTCAATTTTATTATTCAAATTTATGTTATGTTAATTTTCGGTCAAGTTTAATTTTAGGTTTAGCATATTTCTTCAATTTACAACAATAATATAATCTAATCTAACGACAAGTTCACTTCGCACTCAAGCTAGATATGATGCATTTAAACTGCATATGACGCACTTAAGCTACAGATGACGCACTCAAGCTTCAGATGACGCACTCAAGCTACAGATGACGCACTCAAGCTACATATGACGTACCCAAACTACATATGACGCACTCAAGCTACAGATGACGCACTCAAGCTACATACGACGCACTCAAGCTACAGATGACGCACTCAAACTACATATGATGCACTCAAGCTACATTTGACGCACTTAAACTACATATGACGCACTCAAGCCACACATGACGCACTCAAGTTACATATGCAGCACTCAAGCTACACGTGACGCACTCAACCCACATCTACACGCTTCAAACCTGACAAATCTTACACGAATTTTGAATACGCTTCGATTTGGAGTTTAAGTCCAACTATAACTTGCATGGTCAAAGATTGCCGAATACAAAATTGACATAACACTTCAACTTTTCTTCCCTGTCTGAATATTGTAGCTGTTATCAGTTAGTTCCAAAGCACTTGATAAATCATAAGGCAAAGGGTTAAGAACTAAGTGTATGTGCGTCACAGCGTTAGCAATATTAAGTGACGATTAAACGACGAATCATTAGGATACGAGTGAATATAAGTGGACTCTATGAATTTCACTTCGAACGACTAGTTTATTTTGTAACGTACTTGATCACTGTTTGTTCGAGAGTGTCTCCGAAGAATTTTTACGTTGCACAAATGCTCGGAGTGGCCGTAGAATTTTTGTGACATTGCCGAGGGAAACAGTTTCTAATTTTCTATCGGTTTATGTAAAATTTGGGTGGAGATGGAAATGCGAGCGACGTATGAAGTGTATCTGGGTTTACCCGTAGTGACCTAAGCAAGTAATAAAAGCAGCAATACCTCGATAAGAATAGTTCACTGCGAACGAAAGACTCTACTACTAAGGTTAAGGGCTCCAGATGTGACTGACAATAAAAAAATACTCGCTAGAATGTAATGACTCGGGTCTCATTGCTGTTGTGGATAAAGATTGATTTGAAACTTCAAATGAAGGAAAATTTGTTAAAGTATCTAGAAGCTTGAGATCTAATTCTCCCACTATCATATGCATTCAAAGACCTAGCAGTAATTAACTATTAGCTCAGTTATGTAAATTTTACCTTAGGTGCTTTGCTTATATGTTTATATGTATTTTTAAGCGTCGAAACACCATATTAAATTACTAACCCTATAATAACATTTTCAAACTCAATTTTCTAACCCAACATTACCAAGACTCCTCTTCGTAATAACATGATTCTACGTGATATTAAATATTTGAAAAGTATAAGTCAGAATAAAGAAAAGAAGGAAGGTACTCGCTTTCAAGAAGAAAGGAGACACAGAGACATTATACCTTAAGCCTTTACGATTATCTTTAGGAGCTTCTGTGGAAACTTGACAAAAGGCTGGCTCCTCTTACAGAAGAATATGGCGGACGTTTGTTGTCCGTGGGGGAAAATTTGAAGGTTCTCTTATGTGACGGGAATGCGTCCAGCCGGTATGAAAAAGATCGATCGTTCTTTTGTTGATTGCGGGAAAGGTCTCTCCAAGTTTGGTGAACCTTTGTCTGAAGGAAATGCGGGATGAGAAAACTGACGTCTGTTTCCTTTCGATGTTGCAACGATGTCTTTTGAACCGCCATTAAGTTGCGAAGAATGAGCACTACGTGGTTGGTGGTTCGTGAAAATTCAGGAGTTATGTAGATTTTACATATAAATTATGTTTTTGCTGTGGGAAAAATGTGGGTCGAAGGTTAGGATTTTGAAAATTTTTGTATATTAATTTGGGGATTTGGGAATTTCGGGATGGAAATTGGAAATGCAAGAATTCGAAGATATAGGGATTCAGAAATTTAGGAATTTTATGATATGGAAATTTAGAAACCTGAGAAATAAGAACCCCAAAAATGCACATTCTTTATTTCCAAACTTATTCCACTTTATTTACATCACATTTCTTTTCTGCATCTCTTATTCGTATTTAAGCTTCAATGCATATCTCGTTAGTTATAAAACTGAAATACGCAGGTAATCTTCCCCTAATTACGTTTCGTTATAAAAAGCCATCGGCCATAAATAAAACGGAACTACATTGGGGTGATTTCGCCTGCAAAAAGTATACCACAGAATTATCCTCGATTCGCGGTAAAAATTGAAAAATATTCAATCCAGTCGAAAAGAGAAGAAAAGAGACGTAACAAAACGGTGGTGCAACGGCGTTCGGAAAAAAACGCTGTTCATAGAATCGCAGGCCGGCTCGAGAGGAGAAAAATGGAGGATGGCCATGTGCCACGAAAAAGAAGAAAAAGGGGTTCGCAGGTAACGCCGTACCTGTATCCCGATAAAACAGAATGTAAATCAGTAGCTGAGCTGGACAGAGATGGACACGATGGGACTAGTTCCATCGAAGGACCAACCCATGTGCGTTCCAGCAGCAAGGCACACATAGCCCAATATACATATGTATATTGCCGAAGTTTACTTGCTGCAGTGCAGTAGTAACCTCACCCCCTGCACCCCTGCCCAGAAACCGTTGCATCCCTCTTCCTCTCATCTCATTCACTTTCTGCCTTGCTGCATACATGCTCCTCTCCGTCTCTATCGTGCATACACTTCGGTTCAAAAGTATTTCGATAACCGGTTTTGACCAAACGGAATTTTTATTTGATATTTATTTGTTAGGGTGTGTGTGACTGTATTGTAGGAATGGTATTTATGGGGATTGTAGTGAGAAGGGAGGATTACATTTAAAAGTAGTGTATTTGTAAGGAGTGTATTTATCGGGTCTGTACTTAGGGGGACTGTATTTAGAAGGACTGTACTTAGGAGGAGTGTATTTATCAGGTCGGTATTTACAAGGATTGAATTCACGAGGACTGTATTTACAAGGGCTGTATTTATAAAGACTGTACTCTTAATATGACTGCATTTACCAGGACTGTATTTATGAGGACTGCATTTATAGAGACTGTACTCTTAGCATGACTGCATTTATCAGGACTGCATTTATAAGGATTGCATTTATAAAGACTGCACTCTTAGTATAATTGCATTTATCAGGACTATTTATAAGGAGTGTATTCAGAAGGACTGTATTCAAAAGGAATGTATTTGTAAGGAGTTCACTTATCAGGACTGTATTTACAAGGACTATGTTCCAAGAATTATATTTGTGAGGACTGTATATGCAAGGATTGTAATTACAAGGATTGTATTTTCAAAGATTGTATTTACAAGAGATGTAGTTACAGGGACTGTATTTATAGGGCCTTCATTTATAAAGACTGCATTTAGAAGAAGTGAATTCATAATGAGTGCTTTTAGAGGGAATGTATTTATAAGGAGTGTATTTATCTGGACTGTATTTACAAGAAGTGCATTTATAAGGTCTGTATTTCTTAGAACTGCTTTTAGTAGGCCTGTATTTATCGGGATTGCACTTATCAGGACTGTATTTAGAAGGACTGTTTTAAAATGATAATTACTCAAACTAAAATGCAACATCAAGTTCATGAATCTTAAAAATCACAGAAACTGAAATTTTCATTTACAAATTTACAAATTGACAAATTTACGTTCACATCAAAAACAGATTTCCAAATGTGTTAATGTAGAAAAATTCAGTCACAAAAATATACAAATATTCAAGTACATAAATATACTGTTAAAACGCAAAAATGTAAAAATTTTGAAACGCAGAAATGCAAAAATCTCCCAAAATCAAATATTCCCAACTACTAGTCCTGTTCTATGACAACTCGTGACGTACTTACAGTGCAAACTCCATAAATCCTCCTCTAATTTTGAATACACTTCAACGTGAAGTTTAAATTCAATTACAGCTCGCATATTCGAAGATCCCTAAATATAAAACAGACACATTTCAAATTTATTCGTTTCAATATTATAGTTTTGAATATTCATTTCTAATGCGTCATTTAAATAAGTATGACAAGAGGTTAATATAGGCAACGGTACCTAGTTACTTTTGATAGTACTAGTTATTTTCATTTAGTTACTACATTAGTTATTCTTGACAGTAGTGGTTACTTTCACTAGTTACTTTTGACAGTGCTAGTTACTTTCACTAATTACTCTTGACAGGGTTAGTTACTTTCACTAGTTACTCTTGACAGTGCTAGTTACTTTCACTAGTTACTTTCACTAGTTACTCTTGACAGGGTTAGTTACTTTCACTAGTTATTTTCAACAGTGCTAGTTACTTTCACTAGTTACTTTTGACAGTGCTAGTTACTTTCACTAGTTTCTCATGAGAGTACTAGTTACTTTCAGCTAGTTACTTGCATTCTAAAATCTGAGCTCTGACTGACACATTTACCAAAAGTGAAAAGTACCTTCACCTAGTTACTTTAAAATCTCAAATCAAACTTTACCAAGAAGTGAAAAGTGTTTCTAGATCTGATTATTAGATCCAATACATTTACCAAAAAGTGAAGTGTTACTAGATCTAATACATTTACCGAAAGTTAAAAAGTATCTTCACCCACTCCCTCGCTATCCCAAACCTCAGACCCGCCAAATACATTTACCAAACTAAAATATTAAACTCGACCGACACTAACCATCATCAAAAGCGGTAATCCAGCTTCCGATAGCCAAATATGCAAATTAGATATACACCCACACAAGATCCATCTATTTATCCCCGTTCATCGCTCACCACCCTTTCAGCGGTTCAGCCCGGTCCGAAAATGGATTCTCCACCTGGTCGGAATGGTTTTCGAAAAGTTTAGCTCACATGTGGCCAGCCGGCAGTCCGTTACCATCTTCCGCGTTCGTGCGAACGCGCACACACGCGCGCACACACCTACTAAAACGCACACAACCGAAACTGACAGGTATTACGATGATAGATACGCGCGTACCACTTTTTTTTCCCCGGAGCCCTGCCCTGGGATCTCTTCCGGTCCTTTGCAACTGGCTGGCAGCCAGCCAGAATTCACGGTGCTCCCGCGAACCAGGACACTCTGGAAGTTCGACGTGTAGCATCTCCGTGGGCAGTGCCATTTCAAAATGAATTTTTTCCCCACCCACCCCCTGCACGTTGTACGTGTGTTTTTTCTGTAACCGCGCAGCTTAGCCAGTCAAACGAGGGCACGATAGGGAAATTCGAGCCAGAGGACCAGTGTGGTTTGTTCAAAAGGATTCGTTTTCACCGGAGAAAGAGTATCTCCCCCTTTTTTTTCTCTCGTCGCGATCAAATAGCCTTTTTTTCCCTTTCTATTCTTCCGCATCGTGCTTTCGACTACTCTTTTTTGCACGTTTCTTGAAACGATCACTGCGGATGTTTGTTTCGGACTTGGTATTAGGAGACTCTTAGGAGGGACTTTTCGAATGGTGTTTGTTCAAACGGATTCTTTTCAAAGGGTATTCTTTTTCTCATCAAATAGTTTTTTTTTTTCTTTTTACTCTTGGAACTGCGGATGTTTCGGACTTGTTGGACGTAGGAGTCTAGATGTTTTTGGGAATTGGAAAATTTGGAAATTGGAGATTTTGAGGATTCTAGGAAATTTAAGAATTTTGGGAATTCTGAGAATTTTGGGAATTTGGAGAATTTGGGACTTTTAGGGAATTTCGGGAATATGGGGAATTCGGGGAATTTGGAGAATTTGAGAAATTTGGGAATTCGGGGATTTGAGGATTTGGGAAATTTTGAAGACTTTGAGAAATATAGAGAATTTGGGGAACTTTGAGAATTTGAAGCATTTTGATAATGTGGGGAATTTCAAGAATTTGGGAAATTTAGAGAATTCGGGGATTCGAGGATTTGGGGAATTTTGAGAGTTTGGAAAATTTAGGGAATTTGAGAAATTTTGAAAATTTGGGGAATTTAGGGAATTTGGGGAAATTTGAGAATTTGAGAAATTGGGAGAGTTTAGGGAGTTTAATGAATTTAGGGAATTTGGGAAATTTGGGAAATTTGAGAATTTGGGCAATTTAGGGAATTTGAGAATTTGGGGAATATAAAGAATTTGGGAATCTTGGGAAATTTAGGGAATTTGAGGATTTTTGAAAATTTGGAGAAATTTGAGGATTTTGAGAAATTTAGGGAATTTTGGAATTTGAGAAATTTAGGGAATTTTGGAATTTAAGGAATTTAGAGAGTTTAGGGAATTTGAGAATTTGGGAAATTTAGGGAATTTGGGAAATTTTGAGAATTTGGGGAATTTAGGGAATGTTATGGATTTAGGAGTTTGGGAATTCGAAAAATCGGAACTTTCAGGAATTTAGGAATTTGGTAGCTTGGGCATTTGAACGTTTGGAAATTTAGAGCATTTAAGAATTTGTGGCATTTCGGAATTTAGAAATGTGGAAATTTGGGAATTTAATAACTTGCTAATTTAGAAATTGGGGAATTTGAAACTTATTCCTATGGAGGTGTAGAAAATTTAACTCTTACGAATTAAAAAATTTATACCTTCCACATTTCCAAACCTAAAAAACTAAATTTTATTAAATTTGAAAGCATGAGAATTTGGAAACTTAGAAATATAAAAATAAACTTAAATTTACTAACTTACAAATTTTCAAATATTCAATTATGCAGGTTTGCACAATAGCAAAATATAAACACAACTGCAGATATTATAAAACTTAAAATTTCTCCATTTTTCAAGCTTATAAATATGCAAAATAAGGGTTATAAATATACAATGGAAGAGAGAAATTGTGGTTTCCCTTATTAAAGAGAATAGGTTATTAATGAACGTGGAGGGTCCAGGTTTAAATGATGTTTTAAACGAAATAAAGACTTCAGAGAATAGCACCGGTGCAGAGTGTGTGGAATGTGTTGTGGAACGTTCCATATTTGCAATTTTACTGTGTGCGGAATTTCGCACTTGGGAATTTGGGAGGCATTTTAGCAGTTTTATTGATTGTTTTCAACACTTTCGAAGCAGACAAACGGCTACAATGCCAAATTCCCAGATTTACGAGTTCGATATTTTCCAATCCTAGGTATACATCTTCAGCCTTCTGAAATATTAGCAATAAGGTTTTTAAATTATCGAGTTATTGCTTTTTTATATATCTGAATGTCTAAATGTCTAAATATTTAAATATTTAAATCTCTGCATGTATGGACATGTGAGTGTCTAAATGTCTAAATATTTGAATGCGTAAATGTCTAAATATCTGAATGTCTAAATGTTTAACCGATTTGCATTTAACTTTGGCAACACCAGATGTACCAGTTAATTCTCAATTTTTTTATAAGAAAAATTTGGGAAAACTTTGTTCAAACCATCGCTGGTTTACCACCTGTCCTTCGAATGCCTTCCCCAAAAATTGTTCACATTTCGAGAGAAACCAGTTATCACGTCATTTTTCGACATCTTGTGTTCCTGGAAAAGTGAGCCGTTGATAAAAAGTGGTAGTCCGAAAGGGCCAAGTCTGGTATGGCGGGTGAGGCAAGAGTACCGACCAAGTGCAGAAATTGTGCCTTTAACCGTTTTCTGTGTGTGATGCGGCGTTGTGTTGCAAAATCACTTTTCCGTGTCTTCTAGCCCAATCTGGACGCTTTTCGATCAATGCACGCTTTAAACTGATTATTCGTTGACTGTAGCGATCGGTATTAACTGTTTTCACGTGGTTCAGCTCGTGATGACCTGATTCCACCAAATAGCATTGTCTTCCGAAGTGATTCTTGCGGTGATAGTTGGTTAACCATGACTTTTTGTGTTTTACCAAAGTAGAACCAAAACATGTATC